GATGAGTATAACATCTTGTTTATGTTTATAAAATTTGTAATTTATTTTGGCTACGTATTAATTTTTTTTTGCTATGGTCAACTAATCAGATTTTACCAAATTATTTCACATTGCTTTCAAATCTAATGATCAATGCCATACTGTATTATGAACTAGGTCATTGGACAACTGATACAATTCGCGCTATATCTCTAATATGTATACACGATTGAAAATGGTAAATTAATGAGTTTTCTTCATTAATTCGATATCTTTATCGATTAATCAGATCAATTTAAATGAGGGTCTATTGTAGAATAGATTTCAATCTATGCTGCAAGATAATTTGGTTCGTAAAGATTTAAAAAAATGTAGTAAGAGTTATGTCAATAATTTGGTCTGGTCTTAGATTTATTTCTATTGTATATAGTTGCATACAATGAAAAGGACAGCCTTTACGTAATGTTTGGTTCTGTTTCAGTTACAAATATGAATATATAACTGTTTGATTTTAATCAACTCAAGCATTAGTATTTTTTAATCAAATTCACACATATATTATTTAAAAAGGACTACTCGCGTTCATTATCTTTATAACGAATGTACTTATATGCATATCACCTTTAGACTTATTAAGTAGAGTACACGGTAACATTCACGATAATATTTGGCAGCTTGCCCAATTTCGCTTGTTATTTAATCGGATACGTATCAATCTTTTTTATTTAACCACACAAAATTTGCAGAATTGAAAATAAACAATTTAGATAATTTAGATCCAAGTGTAACACGTAGTGAGCTAAGAGTCTCAATATGTATTAGTGCATATATTTTAAAAATACTGTAAATTGAATTTATCATTCCCGAAAAAGAACCGGCGTAGTTAAAATTTTAAAAAGCAAGTAACACAATGTAGTTAAAGGATTTATTAGTACACAATGGATTGTATGTGTGTGAAAATCGGAACAAAAACGTTACGGAGTTGTTTTTCCCGGATTATTTATCGTTATAGATTTATTTATTTAAACTTGGTCTTTTTTCTTAAGTCTCTTGAGTGAATAAAATTCATTATATATTATTTCATGTATTATTCATATTATTTGATCATTGTACCTTTTATTACATATGGATGAAAACGAATTTGAATTCATCGAAAGTATAAATGTTTTTGGTGAAGAAATCCAATTCCGTAAAGGAAAATCAATTCAACTCTTAGAATATAATGTGGAAAATAATCAGATTATTCTTAAACAACAAGCATTGGATATAATTGAAAGGATTAATGAGCCTGTGGCTATTATCGCTGTCGGTATGTTAATTTAGCTACGTTTACATACGAATTTTGAAAGTTACATATTGATACTTATTTAAGAATTAATAAAAATTATAATCAATAGTTGGATCCTTTCGACGAGGTAAATCCTGGTTTGCGAATGTTCTACATGGACGCCATGATGGTTTTGCCCTTGGAGCAGAGGTGTATATTTATATATATATTTATATATTTATATAATATATATTTCATATTTTAAAGCTTATCATTTATATTTTCAAACAACAGGTGGAAGGATGCACACGAGGTATTCACATGTGGGATACTCCGTTCCTTCATAATGGAAAGCGAGTCATTGTTCTTGACTGTGAAGGCGTCGATGAACCTCAACAAAGTCAACAATGGGCAACAAAATTATTTATTTTATGCCTAGTAATATCGTCTTCCTTTATCTATAACATTAATGGAATTGTTGGTAAAGCCGATATTGGAAAGCTATTCTTAATGAGCGAGTTGTCAAGATATATCCACCCACCAAACAACTGTAGATTCCTTCCAAATTTGGTGGTGTTGCTTCGTGATTTCATGTTAAAGGCTCCTAACGACTTTCGAACTTATTTTTTGGAAAAATTAGATGAAGTGAATGCTGAAGGTAATATGGAAAAAAATCCTTATTGTATTCGCTTGTATTTGCCTGTATATCTATTGCTTGCTTTTTGTTTGCCTTTGTTTCTTGTATTTGTTGGTTCAATAAATTAAAATATAATTCATTCTCTTTTACAGCCTCCGATGCAATAAAAGAACGTTTTGCGGATTTTGAAGTTTACAGTCTACCAGTATGATCAATTCTTTCTAAACATTTATTTTTTAACAGTAGTTATGTACAGTATGTTTCTTTTTATAGTTTCCTGGAGTTCCCAAAGAAAAACTACAACATATGGATAAAGTATCTACATCCGAATTTGATCAAGATTTTATAGTAGATGTGATAGCAGCTGTGAACGGAATTTTTAACAATCTCCAGCCAAAATATATAGGAGCATTTCCAATGTCTGGTGTCTCTTTTGCAAAATTTCTTCAAGAATGTGTTAGGTCATTGAATGATCCAGAAAATCGTATTCAAATATCAGTACCAGACGAATATGAATCTGTAGTAGAGTATGTTGCACAAAAGTCCATGCAACATTGTAATAAAATGTATCAAAGACTTATGGAATCAGAAATATTACAACACCAATTACCCGTGCTTTGGAAGGATTTTAATGAAATGCATGACAGAGCTTTTAATGAAGTAAAAACCGAATTTTTTAATAGAGTGCTAGGATCAGCTAGTCAGATATGTGAATTTCAACAAGAATTCCATAAAATGATTGAAAAGAATAGACTTATGTTTCATGAAAGGAATTCAACAGTTTTATATCAACATAATCGTGATTTGGGAGTGGAACTTTGGAAAACTTATGTGAAGCACGGACTTACCTTTGAATCAATTTTTAAGGTAAGTAATACGATTACTGTAACTAATTTGTTAATTATAAAACCTAATAATCATAATATTAATAATATTATTATTATTTAAAAAAAAAAAAAAAAATTGCATTAATTTATAGACTCAAGAGGATTTCGAAGGTGCTATTTCAATATTCGAACGAGAAATGTTGGATAATATGTTGGAAGGACCAGAATTCGAAAGAGTGATGTCGGAATTCAAATCCAAAGAATATCAAGATGCTGCCGACATTCTTCAATTATATGGAATACTCGAACAAAAACATGCTGAAGAAATGAAAGCAAATCAAGAATCTCAAACAAAGTTACTCGAATTGACAGCAAAAGAACAAGAATTAATCGCTGAAATGGAAAATCTTAAGAGAGAACATGAAGAAATTAGAATAAACCTTGAAATTAAAATTAAAGCGATGGATAAATGTTTAATCGATCAACAAATTCAAAATTCTCAAATGTTTGAAGACCTCCGAGATGATCATAATTTGGCCATGACCATGTTAAGATCAGAGGAGGAAGAAATACTCAGTTTACAAAAACAAATTAAAGAATTGAAATCTAAAAAGGAATATTGGAAAAAAATTGTTGCAGAAGCGGTGCCAATTTTGTTGCTTGGAATTAAAATTTTTATTAATAAATATATATAAAATAAAATAAAATAGGTTAATCAACGCTGCAAATTTCTTGATTTTTAAATGACTTTTATCACATATTCTCTTTAAATCAGCCGAACTAAATAATTCAAATATATAATAGGTCAAACATTAAGACCTATTACAGTTATGCCAAAATTTTAAACCTTCTAATATGATAGAATAGATTAACGACAACAGCACGTTGAGATAGCACCTAACATTAGGTGACAGCTCTAACCACTGAGAATGAGAATCAGAGGAATGTTTATTTATACAATGAGATTCTGAAAAAAAAAACATGCAAAATACTTTTTTTTCTATAATTAAATCTGGTAATATTATACAAAGGGAGTAATCAACGTTACAATTTTTTTTGCTTATTTGTTGCAATAATTATTTTCTAAACGATTACCTGCAGCGAATACGACTTTTAATTTTTGCTATGTGCATATATTTACATACACATATATATACATACATATATACATTTTACGTCAATAAAAATATCATAAATTACAGAAAACAGAGCATGTTCCTTACTTGTTCATTTAAGCCGCCATCTACTTTTCCATTAATAAGATATCTTTCAGATGGAACCAATACCAAATTACATTTTCCAATTTCAACCATTCTGTTCGGACGAAGCAAAGAGCTTATCGTAGGTCTTGTTGCTTCATACGATGAAAGAGCTACATTGTTATAAAAATAATACGTAATAGTAATAATATTAACTGTCTTTATTAATAATAATAATAATAATTATATGAATTTTTACTTTTTATACGTATGATTGTTTTATTTGTAATACCAGATTTACGAATATATTTTTCACTTTCAGTCATACGCTTCAATTTTATTTCGCATCCTTGTTTTGTTTTTATAATTCTTGAAGGAGATTTATCGTTTATAAAAGATAGGTGCATTCGCTTAGGAATTGATGATAAAGGTTGATATTTTGATTTCAGTGGCGCATCAAATACTCTGTGATGACATGCTGACGGTTTGTCACCATATTGGTGATGAATCCTTATCGAATTTAACAATAATAAATATGATAAATTTCAAAAAAAGAAAAAATAAATAAAAAATAAAAAAAGAATAAATAAATAAATAAATAAGTAAATAAATAAATAAGTTCTTTTGGGTAACGATAAAAAAAGATAAAAAGAAGATAATCAACTTGACAAACTTCTTTGGGCGAAACCATTGGAAACTTTTCCAAAGTGATATGAGAAATGTGGCGATCAAAATGTAGCAAGGTATACCCGCGATTATTGTTTTTGTTATGAAGAAATATTCGCACAAATCATTCAACAAAGTGATTCTTTTTATTATATCTAAGATCATGAATATAATACTTATTGACAAAAGAACCAGGAATATGTATGTTTCAAAACTTTTCATTTTGAAAAAAAAAAAAATCAAGAGTTTGATCTGATAGGTTCAGAATGATTTGTCAGATGCCGTGGTTTCATTCAATTGGATGTCTGTCAAAGTAAATTCAAGTTTTTAGAGTTTAATTTGAAGAATATAAAAGAAACTATTTAAGTTCCTTATTCAGGTATCTCATATCTAAGTATGGATGTGACGCATGAAAATGATGCAATCACACATTCTTTTCTCACACATAATATATCCAATATGAATGAATTCGCAATTGATATCCTTTGTAGTATTTGAATTTTCCATTCTCTTACGATAGCAAACAGTCCACATGTCAATTTATTCTCGATGCATCGATGCACTGTACGTACGTACGTACTGTACGTAAATATATACAGTAAGTGACATATCAGGTATTCAAATTAGTGATTTTTATTGTTTTCGTGGGTTATATTTAAATTATAGCTAACAATTAATATTAACACTTCGCTTTGCCTTAGATATATCATTAACAAAGATCGTTTTAACACAGTTGCCTTCTTGGAACTCCATTAATATCCTTTAATGTTGATTATTAACGTGTATTTTGATTTTATTAATACCATACTTTGTGTAGGCAGGTGAATGGAGTTATTTCAGTTATGATTTACTGTAAACACGTACATTCAAACATTCTAAACTTACTGATCCCATATCAAAAATGCTTATAATCGAAATCTAACCAACTATAGATACGTATAGATACGTATACGTAATCGTATTATTCAGTTTGATTTTTCATCAAACTCTAGGCACACACAATTTCTATCATTATATATTTAACAAACCTTCAGTCATTTAGGTTTAAATACAAAATAACAAGATGGTATCTTAATGTGATTGAATTGCTCATTGCTTAAACTGTTAAAAAATTAAGTCCGAGCTTTAGCAAACTAATAACACCGTATATCTACGAGACTAATTATTTAGCATTTAATTTGAACTTTTGAATTGTAATCATTAAAGCCAGTTTAGACTCGAAGTTAATAAGATACTATACATAATTGAATTAATAAGTATACCGAGAGTTTGTTGCATTAAGGATATCGATTTCACGAGTTACTAATAAGATGTTCTATATGTATGTATAGAAAATTTGTTTAACATGTTAATATTCGATGCATTACGTATCTGGTATAATAAATCCGCTATAATCGTGTTATAAATATGATATGTTATACAGATACAGTGCTTAGCTATACATTATCAAACGTTATAGTTAGGCTCTTCACATGTTTATGTTACTTCATTATACCATAATACGCAAACCTTACCGTTACCATATCAATGATGCATACAAAGACTTATTATTCTTTACCAATTAAATGATATAAGTTATGCAAACGATAAAATCAGGCGCAAGTACAAACAAGAAACTTAACGCATGTTTATTTGATCATTATCTAAAGACTTGCTTAAAATATAAAAAATCTTAATTAAACACACATGTAAACATCTATATTATGAATTAGATATTCGCGTAAAATAGTTTATATATTTATTAATGTAAAAATAAAATGGGAAGGCTTAAATAAATTTAAAAATATTTATGCTCCCAAACTAAATTACTTCGAGCAGAATATGACCTTATCAACAGTGTAGAATATTCTAAACTACCATGACAACGAGTTACATATCTTAGAAAATGTTGAATTGTATTTCTATATTAAGACAAATATACAAATAACGTAGCAACATTAATCTTCCCACGTTATCAATTTCAGCTCCTTCGAAAGATTATCGCTTGACTACACTATAGTTCTTTTGATCATAACACAGGGTAATAATCTTTACATTAGGATTCATATAAAATTCTGGCATTTGGGTCATCTAACTAGAATAGAACTTAATTAAAGCTTTGCTAAAAACATTTAGTGCCACGCATAATTCTATTATTTACATGGCCTATCGAATATTCCTGATAATAGTAAGTTATTTTGATCTAAATCGATTGTTGAAACCGCTTTGCCTATGGTCTTTACTGTCTCATAAACGTTCATAAATTTCAACTGATTTAAGTTGAAAATAATACGTTAAATAGTCATACATTAAGACTGCTAAAAAAAAAAACGATAAGGGTTTTCATTACTTTAGAAACCCTTCTTTTGCTTCGATAAAGCTTTTTGGTGAATATTGTGTAGAAATTTCATATTGCACAAGAGATCGTAACGTGCATCTAAAATGTGTATTTGTAATTTTGATTTTTACATCACAACATATTCTCATTAATTTTTGACAATGGATTATGCAATATTTTATCGTCTTAGGTAATTTTAATAATATTTCTTGATCGTTTTACAATCAATAAATTTCATAATTATTGCGGTAGAAGGTCGATTTTCTGGCTATTTATCCATCATTCTTTCACATAACATTTTTAATAGATGTTTTATTTTTCCATGTAAGATGTTACGCGATATAACGAATGAGTTTGTACTATAAGAAAGAAGTTAAAGGCTTGGAGCAATTGAATACATATCTTAAAACTTTTGACATAATGAATAAATATCAAATGTTTTAATATATTGTTTTTCATCTAAAATTTCTGGGTCATATATGGTAAAATACTATAAACCTTATTGTATTAGCTTCTGCCTTTTTGATGCTATATTTGATGATATCGAAAGCCCAGTTCTACAATATATGTACTATAATCATTATCTAGTAAAATATTGCCATTATTTAAATCTCAATAAATAAGTTCTTGAGAATGAATTAGTTTGACAACTGTTATTTATTCTATTTCTGCAGGGATTCCTACTCTCGCATAATTTAAATAAGGATATAATTAGTGATGGGACCTCCTGAATTATTAATAGTTATTAATTATTAGCCCGAGTTATTAAATAAAAACTACTTAATAATGTATGGCGCAGCTAAGATACAGCTATTACCACGAAGGCGATGAAAAATATGTCAATATT